GGGCGGCCAGGTTCCCAACAGCACCGTCTGGAGCCTGGAAGGGTTAGAGTAATGAAGAGCTACTGGAAATGCCCCCCCCGCTACCGAGCATCTGCTGAGGGGGGGCTGCAGCCTCGGGACCTGCGCTAGCCCTCCCCTAAAAAAGAGATCAGACGGAGCGGACGCTCTCCCTGCCTTCTCTAGCCCTGCCCTCGCTCGAGCAGTCATGACCAAGCACAAGGAAACATGGGAAAACCCGCAGAACTCTGGATTTTAAAAAAAAAGATGGTGCCATGTGCATCACCAGCACCGCTGTCAGGGCTTGGGCCGAGACCAAGCACCACCACCTCGGTGGCTTTTTCTGGGGGAATGGGATGGCTCTACCCCCCCATCTCCGCTGGGGAGATGAGTCCTGCTCTCGTTTCCTCCACAGCAACAGCCAGGAGCTCAAGGGCAATGCCTGCATCGCGCAGACCCGCTCGGGAGAGCGGCGTGCTGTTACCAGCGATGGGCCAGCACAGACTGGGAACGGCACCGCTGCATCACAAGAGCTTCCCCCGTGTTTGCCCAAGACGTACAAGCCCCTCGACAACAACCAGATGGTTACAGGGCACCAGCGTCCGGCAGACATCCGTGACTGGGACTACTGGGGAGTTCGGATGCGTATCCAAAGGCAGACGGCAGCACAACCCGGAGAGCACCACAAGCTTTGGCAAAATACCTGGAAATCCCCCTGTTTGAGGGGTTTTTGGCACACCTCTGGGTCGGATTCACTTGCCCGACCTCTGCCTGGGGGCACCTGCTGCCTGTTATCGCCGAGAGCTGGCCGCCCACACTCCCGTGCTGGCCCTGGGAGCCCTCCCAGCCCCGAGGTGACAGAATTCAAGCTCCAAAGCAGCATTTTCCAGCTACAAAAACAGACACCCACCCCTCTGGGCAGCCTTTTGCAGGCCAACTCGCTCGGTTCTCCCCCACCACCGCCAAGCAGCGTGTAAACTCAAGGCCGAGCCCCCTGCCTGATGCCCACGCAGATCCCAGCAGGCTTTTCCATCCCCCACGCAGCGGTTTAATGGTGCTCCGATAGCTGTAATGAGTATTTCTGCCCCTGGGATTCAAAAGGGTCAGACTTCAAGACAAAAAAAGGTGTTTTCTGCCCGCTTAGAGCACGTCCACCACCAGCTCTGGGCAGCAGCAGGGGCTGGAGTCGGAGCTCTCCCCTGTGCCGTTGGAGGGAGACCCTCGCCCAAAGCTCCAACCTCAGCTTGCAGCTCCAGCCACGGCCGTGTAAATCCTCACGCCACTAAACAGAAAGCAAGAGCACGACCCAGCATCCCTCCACGCTTTACGGAGCTGCTGTCAGGCCATAACCGCGCTGCAGGGGGGGAAACTCTGACAAAAAGCAACGTTCAACCCATCCCGGAGCAGCTTCTTGGAAAGAGAAACCGCCCAAACCTGCTGCTCCTACGCCAAATTCTCCAGGGAGATTCCTCAGGCTTCACCTCCCGTTTAACGTCCACAGGGGAAGGAAAAGTTACCCACTCAAACTGCCTCGCCGCTGCTACAGGCATGGCCCCAGCTCACCCCCTCCCCGAGTTTAAAAATCCCAGCGCACGGATTAGGCGCAGGGCCGTCGGCGGGGGTTTCAAAGGGAACCCAGCCCACAACAGCTCTGGCTTGCTGCCGAGAACGCCGGGGTTTGAGCCCTCAGCCTTCATCCTTTTGTCAATTTGCTCTTTTCCCGGAAGGCCTGCTCGATTACGTAATGCGACGCGCTGAAGGTACCGAGCTGATGTCAGGGCTATAATGAGTCACAAAAACACGCAGCTCACTCCGTTTCCTGTCAAAGCCAGCTTTCAGTTTGCTTTTGGAGCAGCTCTGGCAGGCGGTCACAGAACTAACCCTGACCCTGAGCACACGAGCTCGTAGGCACAAGGCGCAGCGTAGGACACAATATCCAGTTCCAGGAGCCACCGCGTTAACACACGGACCCGTTAACCCTGGAGTCGATCCGTACGGCGCTTCGCTACGCTGCGGAGTTACCGTTCTGCTGGGTATTTCGGGGGCTTACTGACCGGCCTCTGAGAGCACAAAACCCGCCTGCAGCGTGGGCAAAGAGTTTCAGACCTCCCAAAGCCACTCGCCCGCTGCTTGGGTGGGATCTGCCCTGTGTTTCCACGCTCCATGGCCCTAAGGTCAGCTCTGACGGTGCTCACGGGCCCGGTCACGCTAGCAAAGTGACCAAAAGCAACACAGAAAGGTCAAGGGAGGGAGGAAAGGACACAGACGGCTCCCAGATCCAAGCTTTAACAGCTCTGCGTGGAAACTACCACCACCGACGGATGCGCTGCCAGCTCTAAAGCAGCACGGGACAAATTAAGGATTTACAGCCGTTAAAATACTTACCCAACTTCCATCCAAAGGCTTCAGCCTTAGGATCACGCTTCCCTAAATACATCTCAAGGGTTCAAAAGCATCCTCAAACAGCCTCCACAGGCAGCAGCGAGGAGCAGAGGCTCTCCCTGCCTCCACGGTGTTGCCCACAGCTTGAGCCACTCCGGCAACAGGGAGCGGAACTACGGAGCTCCGTTTGCAAAGGTTGCTCTGCTGCTCCTACACCCGCTCACCCGCCCCGGAGATGCCCTGCTGCTGTCAGAAGTAGGAAAATCACGTGCAAGAGGGAAAAAAACCCCCAAACCCTGCCAATATGGAGTGATGTTGGCATCCTCGGCCTCCAGTGCCTGGTGGGAACTGGAGCTTGATCCCTATGGGATTCTCCACACCCATCCAACGGCCCAAGCTGCCACATTTATCATTCTGGGAGCTTATTGAGTTGTTCTTTGAACCACTTTCTCCCTGCAAACGCCTGCCTCGAAGCACCGCGGTCAGCATGGGCTGGGCAGCCAGCCACGGCCCTCAGGTGAGCAGCCCATTCCCTGCAACGCCCCCGTCACCCCCGTCAGGCAGCCCCCAGGCTGGGCTCCCTGCGTTCTCCTACACCCCCACGTCCAGGAAAGCATCTACACGACCCGAGCGTTGCACAGGCCCGGAGCTGGGACCACGGGGAACCCACCCGAGCTGGCTGATGGCACATCACGGCCATCGCTGACCAGGGCGGGCAGAGACAACCTTTCCACCCTCACGTTTATGGATCCATCTCAAACCTGACCGCGGTTCAGACACCTGCAGCAAGTTCACCCCTACCTCCAGGAGCTGGAGTTGAGAGGTCCACGTTACAGAACCCAAAACTACCCTCAACTCGGCATCTTGTGCTTTCAGCACTTCACCTCGGAAGCAGGAAGGCAGCCAGGATCATGGAATCCCAGCATGGTTTGGGTTGGAAGGGACCTTAAAGACCATCTAGTTCCCACCCCCTGCCATGGGCAGGGACACCTTCCACTAGACCAGGTTGCTCCAAGCCTCATCCAGCCTGGCCTTGGACACTTCCAGGGATGGGGCATCCCCAGCTTCTCTGGGCAACCTGTCCCAGTGCTCCCACCCTCTCCGGGAAGAATTCCTTCCTGATCTCAATCTCCCTCTTTCCATTTAAACCCGTTACCCCTGGTCCTGTCCCTGCGTGATCCTTGAGACAGCACCTGGTGTTGAGAGTCCAACTAGTAAAAGCTTTTCCTACCGCCAGCAGCGCGGCTCCAACAGATACAGCCTCGGAGCACACGCTCAGCCCTTCAGAAGCCGGTTTCGGGAGCACGGCAGTGAGAAAGAGTAGGAGCTGGGGACTGGCAGGAGGAAATACAACAGCATCCCCAACACCTCCAGGGCCCAGCCTGACATCTCAGAGTCAGAAGAAGCATCTTCCAGATGAAAACGGCCGCGGACAGCACGGCCAGCCCACTCTCCCGCTGGGAATATGCTCTACAGCTTTTCCTCCTCCCACCAAAACCTGTTACAGCCAGGAATGGCCGGAGCTTCAGTCACCACCTCCATGCTGATGTCAGCTTTCGAAGCGCAGCCGGAGGTCTCCTCGGCGCAGTACCAGCGGGATCGTGAGCATGATCCACCCGGTCGCTGAGACACGAAGACGACCCAGCACCCCTTAACGGGCACCTTGCAAAGCCCCTTTCCATGCAGCCTCAGGCAAGCGACTAAACTCATCACACCCAAGAGATGTGACCAAGAGCCCTTTCCCCAGGAGAGCTACGTCTGCCCTGGACTATCACGGTCAGAAACGCAGCGGCGGACACTTTCTGCGCAGAGGAGGTGTCAAAATTTACCTGATGGGCCTGCGTCTGCATCGGCTGTTCCTCGTGCTGGGGCTGCACAGTCCCCATCGCAGCCTGGCTAAGCGTGGTGACGCGGCTGGGCTGCCCACGCAGCGTCACGGTAATGGTCGTCGGGGCCTTCAAACCTAGAAAACACAGGAGCGAGACATCCCTGAGACACGGGGACTGCACAGACCACGTTTACCAACCAGGGGCTGCATCAGAAGCCTCTTCCCATTACAGGCAGCTGTCCATAGCTACAGCTCAAAGGGAAAATCAGCTTTGGAAACGCCGGTCGTGGGGTGACAGGGTGCTCCAGGCCCCTGCGTCGCGTGCCTGGTCCCCTCCTCCCTCACCTGCTGCCTGGTTGGAGATCTGAGCCAAGCCAGGGAGACTGCTGGCCAGCTTCGCCAGCCCCCCATTCGTCAGCAGCTGGTGAATGGCCGTGGGCTTTCCGCTCGCCGAGGCTCCCAGAGACAAAGAGGTGGCGACTGGGATGGTGCGGACAATCGTGCCGGTGCCCGTGGTGATGGTGCTCAGGTTCTGGATAGGCGTAGGAGTCTTCACAGCTGAGGTCTGGAAAGAGAAGAGGAAGCACTGAGTACCTGGAAGGAAAGGGCATGCAGGATGGCACGGCCTCTCCCTCACGCAGTAGTCGTCAGAAATGAGTTTCCACAGCTCGATCTGGTGGCCACAAGCAGGTCTAAACATCGGTAAACTCAGCCCTTCCAGTCTGCACCTACCCATTTCACCCTGACAGCAGGGCTGGGAGAAACTGGCTCCGCTTCTAACCAAGCCACCCATTGGGAACAAGGTCGTCTCAAAGTGAAGGGACGGGGAGCACTGCCCGAGAGCTCACGGACGCGTGTTTTCCCAGAACAAGGAGAAAGTTCGCTGATCTCCCCAGACTGTACTCCAACTCCCTCTCAGTGTTTCCTAGGTGGCTGCCCTGAAATAGCTTCCCACAGCCCTGCTTCCCAGACCTCATGCCGCTACGGGAACCCTTAGCCCCCCCATCGGATGCATCATTTTGGCTGCCATTCACACTTGGTATCCCTCATCTCTTCTGGTCCTGGGGCAAACACAGGACACCTCGGCTCCCTCTGACTCCTGCCCAATTTATCCCGCATACAGTTTCCCTCCGGAGAGGGATCTCTGTCCGCTCCATACCTGCATGGGCGGCCCAGCAGCAGCTACGCTGGCCGGGAGGGCGGAGGACTTGGTCCCGATGTCCTGGAGGCTGAAGCTCAGCCCTTGCAGCAGGCTGCTGGCAGATGCTGCTCCTAAAAACCAGTCAAGAATAAAGAAATGAGGCTCGGAGAATTCACCGCCATGAAATTCCAGGTCTGTCACATGGCAGGAGGCTGAGAAACTGTTCTTTAAAAAGCAGCGTCCCGAGCAGGCTGGTTTGAGGTCAGGGGGGATCCTCCCAGTCCCACACGGTTGATGGCTGCAGCTACAAACCCAGGAGGCGAGAAGAGCTCGGGTTCGGCACCTCGAGGCATCGTTTATGTACAAATGACAGAGCTAGCAGGCCTGCTGCACCTTTAGCCTCACCTGACAGCATCCTGCAGGACGTCTACTGGCTCTGCAATAGCAAAGCACTACAAACCCAAAACCACCACGGAATGGAGAATCATAGAATCCCAGCATGGTTTGGGTTGGGAGGGAACTTAAAGCCCCCCCAGTCCCACCCCCTGTCATGGGCAGGGACACCTTCCACCAGACCAGGTTGCTCCAAGCCTCATCCAGCCTGGCCTTGGATGCTTCCAGGGATGGGGCATCCACAGCTTCTCTGGGCAACCTGTCCCAGTGCCTCCCCACCCTCTCCAGGAAGAATTTCTTCCTGATGTCCCATCTCCATCTCCCCTCTTTCAATTTAAACCCATTATCCCTTGCCCTGCCCTTGTAAAAAGTCCCCCTCAAGAAAAAAAACAGTCCTCAGCCAAAAAGAGGATTCATCAAAGGATTTGGAACCTGCTTTACCTTTGATATTCCCAAAAGAGACATGGAGAGGTACCTTGGAGGGCACTGGCGGGCTGGGCCTGCATGCCAAAAGCCCTGCATGCCAGGGGTGCTGCTGGCCACCAGCCTGCTCTGCAGGGCATGGAACGCGCTGGGCGCCGTGCTGCTGGGGATCACGGCAGACGGAGCAGGGCTCGGGGAGGTGTCCGCTGCCGAACTCAGCCTAGAAAGGGAGCAGGAGAGGGATTCGGTTAGCGATAGCTACACACCGCGAGACGGCTTTGACAGCGAGCTGGCGCTGGCCTGATCCAAGCCAGCATGACTCCTGGAGGCACAGGGCAGGGTGCTGACGAGCTACAAAAACCCAAAGCAAGAGAATTTTCCACTGTGGCAGTGAGAACAAGGAGCATCCACTGCAAAATCCGTGTGTTTCCAAAAGCGGACATGAGCTTGTTATCACGTGTGCGCCTACCCGGGCGCTGCAACAGCCGCACCACCCTACACAAAACCTTGCAGCAAAACGTTTCCCATCTACAACCTGGGTTTGCTTGAGAAGAGCTCTTTTTCCTCTCCCCTCCCGGATCAGAGTCCAGTTTTCCAAAGCTTGATGTGAATTAAAAGGGAAAACAGTGATGGGTGATGTCAATCTCAGATTCATTCCCCTACGGCCAGTTAACCAACTTCTTGAGCCGCTCCTGCGGCTTCTTTCCCCTGTCTGTGTGGAAAGCCCGAGTGTCAGAGGGAACAAAAGGAAGGATTAAAAACACCAAATTTCTGGCAAAGACACTACAGCCATGGAAAGGACCGCTGTAAGCGAACTTGGATTTGGGAAACCATACAGAAATACAGCCCCAGAGCCACAATACCTTCTCCTTCCGCCCATTTCCACTCTCCGACTCGATTGCCGGTTGCCAACTAGTTTTCAGGAGCCCAAAGAGTCTCCTGCACTTCCAGCCGTAAGCGAAACAGCAGAAAAGCTCCGCACGCAGGAATCGCCCCGTGGCCGTGCCTCCCGCAGCAGCCTGTCAAAGAGCCATGGCTTACAAAAGCCAAGTCGCACTCACTTGGGGGTGGCGAGCAGTCCCGACAGCTCCTTCGCGCCCGACACAGCCGGCCCGACAGCCACGGGGACCGGCTTCCCGGTGACAACTGCAAAAGAAAGAGAAGAAACCTCATTTTCCCTCCTCCATGAGACTTGGGGGATTCTCCCTCTCGCACAGCCACCCGCAGACAGGGCTGGGGGGCCACGGGCTCGTCCCGTTCCCAAAGCCTCTTCTCCGCTGCGGCCAAACACGCACACTCCAGGAGACCGGGAGGATCAAACGGAGCGGAGTCGTAATAAAAACCAGAAAGCCGCTGTTGCGGAAGCGCTACGAGAGATGGGATTGAAGGAATCAGCTTCTGTAAGCAGCGAAATCTCAGGCCCTCGCCCCCACATCTCATTCCTAAACATTATCCTCCACTAATCCCCTCCCCTCCTAGTCCATCACGGCACAGGGCTCCCGGCACAGCGACGGACTGGGGCCTGGCTGGCGATGGATCCTGTGAGCGTTCTTTAGCGAGACGTTACAGAACACACAGGGATGCGACGAGTCACAACGATCTGTTTATTGCGGCGTTGGGGGATACAAGTGCGTTTGTCGAGCGCGCTCCTCCTGCTCGCACGCGGTAGGAGGGAGGTTCGTGTTTACTGCTGCAATTCACTTCCTTTCTGTGAAAAGAAGTAAAGTTGGGATAATTAAAAAAAAGCAAAAAAAAAAAA